TCATTCCATGGCTGCCAAACATATGCCCCTATCTCCTCTGCCATGGTCCTTGACACAGCCTGGAACTCTCCCTCCACATCTATACAGTCCTGTCTCCTCCTCAGCGCCACGTAGGGGACCCCTCTCAGAAAACCCAGACAGCACCCAGGTGTCCTCTGCCCCCTGCCCCTCATTCTCCACACAAGAGCAGCTGTGTGTGATTGCATTGTACTCTTGTATGTCGGGGCAGGGTAGTTTCTGACCCCTCTCTTCTGCCTCAGAATAGGTGAATTCTCTTTATCCCCACTCTGACACTTCTAAAGTCATTTTCTCATCTTCTTCTGTGCCAGGCACCAGCTAGGAGTTGAGGGTCAGCAGTGAACAAGGAACACAGGAACTAAGGCCAGGCATGGCGGCACACACTTTTAATCCCAGCCTTTGGGAGGGAGAAGCAGTTGGACCTCTGTGAGGTCGAGTCTCGCTTGGCCTAGTCTACATAGTGATTTCCAGTGGAACCAGGAGTATAGGGAGAGACACTGTCTCAAAAAAAAATGACAGGAACTGACTGCCATTTATGTTGTCCTCAAGAAGACACAGGAATGAATATGGCAGGAAATGTCATTCCCCCTCCACCTGGATTCTGTCTGATGGCATAACTAGTGTCAGCAAAGATGGAGTGATTAAAAACCTGGAAGGGATTGCCTAGAAGATGAAAGTGCTACCAGCAATCTCTCTATAGCTGAGAAAAGAATCAAAGAAATGTCTATTTGGGGGACTGTGCCAAATACATCCCAGTAAGTCCAAGGAACATCAATTTTGCTATCAATTAGTAAAAAAAAAAATAATTAAAAGTTTGAGTAATATAAATTGTGAAAAAACACTTATCACTAAAAATAGGATGAATCACTCTTGTTCTTTTTCAATGCAGAAGATACTTTGAGGGGTATGTCTTTTAAAAAAAACGTTATTGGGTTAAAGAGCTCAGCAGTTAGGGATGTACACTATATTTTCAGAGGATCCAAGTTTGTTTCTCTGCACTCACAACCACTTGTAACTCCTTTCCTAAAGGATTTGAGGCTCTCTTCTGGCCTCCGTGGGCACCAAGACCCCTGTGGCGTGCACACACGCACGCATGCACACACGAACACACACACATGCAAACAAACAAAAGTAAATCGTAAAACTTTTGTTACTATTTCAGGTCTACATATTACATGAAACAAAGAGTAGAATGCTAATATCCGTCATGACAGGGATTTGCCCTTTTCTTTTTCATGTGTGTCAAGAGCAGTTCTGAGGTTATCTGTAAAAGAAAGGCTCCCATGATTTATTCTGGGTTCTCTTTCCTTTCGCTAAGAAAACATGTATTGGGCTGGAGAGATGGTTCAGAGGTTCAGAGGTTCAGAGGTTCAGAGCACTGGCTGCTCTTCTAGAGGTCCTGAGTTCACCACATCTGGTGCCCTCTTCTGACGCACAGGCATACATGCAAGCAGAACCCTGTATACATAATAAATAAATCTTTATTTTTTTCCTTTTTCTTTTTTTTTCTTTTTCCTTTTCTTTTTTAAGGGTAAAGGAACTGTGCACAGAATCAGACATTCCAGGACAGACCAGAGCCCTCAGTACCTATGTCTTGGTAAAGTAACTGCATTCTGGTCAGCAAAGTTTCAACATTTGTTTAAAATTCCTAATATCAACCATATTTTAGTTTATGGGCAAATGGAAAATTTACAATAAAACAGGAAATAACCTCATAGTATTAACAGCATGCAATCTATAAAATATTACATACATTAAAAGTCTACAATTACGGTAGGCCTGGCTCATTGTTACAGAGTATCCTTCCAAGACAATTCATAGAATTCACAATTACAAATATTTAAGATGGGGGAAAAAGGGCAACTGACAGTATTTTGTGTTTTGTTTTTAAAATCACATCAGTACTCAATAATACAAGGGAGAGGGGTCATCTGTCCCAAGGATTACCCCCAGTGCAAGTCTTTAGCGCAAATGATAAATCTTTATTTTTTAAAAAAAGTAAACGTGTATTTTTCCTTTTCTTACTTGGTTACCCTTCACATTAGTCCCCTTACATTGCAAAGATCTCATTTAGGTGTTAAAATACAAATTAAGTGTCACCCAACTTGTAAAGAATGGTTACAAATGTAGTGGATGTGAATTGATTTCTTCATCTTTCCAATAGGAATCATTCAGTTGTTTCTGAGCCACTTTGACACCTTACCAAGAGTTGAGCAGTGGAAGCAGTGGTGTTAAATATCTTACAAACCCCCAAATTGTTACCACCTGGCTCTTTATAAAAAAATGTATCCAGACTTTGTCATAGCTAAGTAATTCCTGGTGGACCTATTAATTGTGCTGCCAGAAGACAATAAAAGACATGCTGAATCATTTACAAGTGACAGATATGAGCCAGACTGCTGGAAGCTTCTAGGAGTCCTCTAGTTCACCAGCCCACAGAGACCCAGGAACAATCTACTTTTTAAAGCATTGCACATGGTGTCACAGGCCCTAATCTGGCCTCAACCCCACAACCTCCACCGTGGGCACTGTTTTGTTTCTGGCAGGTCAGCAAAGAGAGCTCAGTGGTTAAAGCTGAGTCCAGTTTAGGCATGTAAGTGGCACGTGTCTGAGCTCTCAATGTATCGTTTAGATGCACTGGAAATGGACTCGACAGATTTTTTAAACATTTTATACATTTCTTCCTTTTCTGTTTTGTGTGTGTGTCTATGTGTTTGGGTACATGAAGGCCACAGGCATGCTATGGAGGTCAGAAGACAACTTGCCGGATGCAGATCTCTCCACCACAAGGACATCTAACTCAGGTCGTCAGACTTGGCAGCAAATGTCTTTACCCACTGAGCCTTGTCACTGGCCCTCAACGAATATCTCTACATGAATTTGTACTTGCAAGTTTCCATGAAAATATATTTTGTGATCTCATATACATTTTACATTCTATCATATGACTTGCATATTACATGTATTTTAGGTCTTGATTTTGAAATTTAAGAAAACACTTTTAATTTGGGACATTTGTATACAAATTACAAAACCTGAAAATGTTTGAAACCTTTACAGTGATGTTAAGTACATTATAGCCATTTCATAATGTTATCTTAACTTTCCTTAAGAAACAACTGGGTTTTTGTTGTTGTTGTTGTTGTTGTTGAATGGAGCTGGATACTGGTGACATTTCCTAGAACATTGCAGCTTTTAAAAATGCCTTCCTGAAGCTCAGAAAAGGCACCATCATTTTTCCAGTGTTAGAAGTCTCTGTCAGTAAAATCTGGGATTCTTATAAGAGTTATCTTTAAGTATACAGTTTATTTTCTTATTTACCTACTTGAGAGGTGTATGTGATCAACTCACTAGGGTAAAGACATTACAGTCTTGGTTTCTGCAGTAGATTGAAATGTCATATCTGTCACTTATAGCTGCCTTCCTCCCTACCTAGCCCTCAACCAACATCTTATCTATTCATGATTCTTGGCCAGAAGGAATGAACTCAAAAATGTATCCCTGAATGCTCTGGCCATTAGATGTCTGCTTCAACTAGATTCTTTTAATTACTCATTGCCCTAAATCACAAACCAGAGCTTTATGTTCCAAGAAGAGTTCTAGAAGTATCATGCACTCTCTTCTGTAACCCTCTTTGAAGTGTGCACTCAGCTTGTATTTGACAGTCTGGTTTGATCACACCAGAGACTCTCTGTCAGCTCATGGAGAAGGACGAGCAATCCAAAGTGATCAGCTGAAAGTGTCCATGTCCCTTTCAATGGAATCATTATTGTTTTCCTTGGCCAAATACTTTCTCTAATTGAAACAAAATTTCTAATGCATAAGGGCATTTTTATGTGTGACTGTTTGGCTTGGACGGACATTATTTGCACCATGTATGTGCAGTGCCCAAAGAAGCCAGAAGAGGGCATCATATCACTTAACTGTTATTACAGATGACTGTGAGCCACCATGTGTGTGCTGGGAATTGAACCTGCATTCTCTTTAAAAGCAACAAGTACTTTAACCATCTATATACTCCCTCAATATTTAAACCTTGATTAGATACAAGTGGAATTACTGTATTTGGACAAATTTACAAGTTTTTCTTCTTTATATGTGCATGCATGTTCACATGAGTGTGGGTATACATGTATTCATATCTTCCTTGAGCAGATCATGCTCCACCTTATTCTTTGAGTCAGGATTTCTCAATGAAAAATATTTTTTTTCCTCTAATCAAACCACTTTCTAACTCTTTTGTTTGACAAGCATCAAGACCAAAAGATGATCATCTTATCTTTGCGGTTATAAACCTTCACAGTGATGAATCTTCAGCAGAGTTTACAGAGGCTGTGGTCCTTTTCGTGTCCCATTCTCCATTTTGCCTGGTGAGAAAATGGCTGCCGAAGAGGTAACTTCTCACTGAGTTTTAGAATTTCAGGAAGTATATGCTGTTTATTTTTATTGAGGAGAGACTTGAGCTAGACAATTCAAGTAGATAGCTGATACATTTCTTTGTGGTTTATGTTGTCTCCAGCACAAATAATCCAACCAGAACTTTCCAGAATTTTAGAGGCTAAGGTGTGTGTATGTGTGTGTGTTTATTTTTTTAGTGCTTCCTTATTTAGCTCAAGCTGGTCTCAAACTTACTATGTAGATTATGCCAGCCTCAAATTCAACTGACCTTTTTATCTTGGCTTTCTAATGCCTCGGCCTTCTAAGTGCTGGGATTGCAGGTATGTGCCATTAGGTCAAACTATGGCACAACTATTGTAGAGTCTAGACTTAATTATAACTTTCTGTTCAGAAAATGTCTGTGTGTTCAGTGAATTGCTGAGATATACCTTGAGTTAAGGCTAGACCCATATTAATTGTGTAAATTTCCAAATTTCACATCTAATTGGTAAGTAACACTGTAGAATCTGTGACTGGCAGAGAAAAGATGTCACACTCAGGGCATTCATGTCCTAATATTTGTTGATTAAAAATGATATAAAATCACCTTCTGGCAATGGGCAAAGAGACACCTTGTTGGTGTTGTCCTTATATCAGTCAGGGGCAGAACAGATGACAATCCTTTGTCTATCCTGGCTTGATGCCTGGCTTGGTGGCCAAAGTTTCCTTATGCCTAGGACTCATAAAAATCAAAGCAAATCTAATCTAACTTTATCTAGGCATCGCAGCACAGGAGGAGGAAGACAGACTGAGAGTTGTGGACCATCATGCTACCCACAGACTTGCCCTCCAGTGCACGCCACAGGCCAGCCATAAACACCTGTTTGTCACCACGCCACATAGCATGGATGTCACCCAGGGGCCCACCAGCCATGTGGCCAGTCTGCAGCAGGAACCATCACAATGTACAAGTATGTGGTAATCAGATGGGAGAGAAAGAGAAGCAGAGCAGCTTGAGCATTGTGAAGAGATGGAACTGAAGACTCAAGGGTGGAGAGGAAGAGCCTGTCGTGAATGGCCAGCCCTGCCACCTGGAGCCATGGTGAGGTCCCAGCCTGAGCTTCCACTGAGAGCCATCTCTGAGTCAGTGGCTACAGAGTCAGGGGTCTATGTTGATGTCCATGGCTCTTAGTTCCACTAGAGAACTTGGGGATGTCACTGGTCCAGGAAGCTGCCAGGGACCACATGAATGTCCAGGGGCTGTTCATAATGGCCCCTTCTCTCACTGGGTGGGGTGCTCTAGAGAGCTAGCCCCATCTCTCAACAGTGGCAGCACTGGGGGAGCAGGACCCAGGCAATACAACGGAGCTGGCCCTGGTGGCAAAGACAACAGTGAGCCATCCCTGAGAGAGAGATAGAGGGAGGGGAAGAGAGAGGGAAAAGGAGAGAGCTTATCCAGCTCCTCACAGGCTGTACCACTTGGGAGAGTGGAGCTGGAAACCTTGACTGGGTAGCACAGTGAAGCTGGCTCCGGTATCCCACAAGTGAGCCTCCCTGAGGGCAGGAGAGCAGGAGAGCTGACCCTGTCTCCTGCAGAAGGCAGCATTGGGTGGCCTAGCTGGAGGAATACTGGAGAGCTCACCTTGGCGGTGTAGGTAAGGGAGAGGGGATGGGCTAACCAGCTCAGCTACAGCCCAGGCCCAGATCAGGGGCTCTGAATTGCCCCACCCCCAAATCTATAGCATCTGCTAACAGTTAAATATGTGAAAGGGCCAGTCCTGCTGTTCCAAAGCTGAAGGATCTCTATGACACAGGGAACAACAGGATAGCCAAGAGGAATCCCAATGAGGATCCAGTATTGATGGTGTCCCAGGAGCCAGAGATCTCGAAGCAGATCAATGACTCATTGCAGTGAACATTTGCAAGTGAAGACATGTAGCAGAGGGATATTCTGTGGGACACACTGTGATGTATCGCAGTTTCCGTGATGAGATATTATCTATGCTTTGTGTTGGAACGAGAGAGAGAGAGAGAAAAAGAGAGAGAGAGAGAGAGAGAGAGAGAGAGAGAGAGAGAGAGAGAGAGAGTTAGTTTTATTTTGGCGAGGAGGTTGCAAGGGTGAAGGGTAGATATGAGGGGGTGTGAACATGAAGGAACTAGGGTACATGATGTGAAACTCACAAAGAATTAATAGAAAGTAAAATAAATAAATAAAATAAAATCATTTTATTCTAGTTAACTCAGTAATAACAACCACCACACAGCACAGCTGGTATAAGGAAGCTGCTCCAATACGGTCCTGAATGCTATACTCTCAGTGAGCATCTACAGCGTTAGAACAGCCATTCTGAAACAAGGGAGCTCCACTTAGGCTCTCTCAGTTCCACTGTTAATTACATGTTTGTTCACTTGTTTACCAGGAAAAACACCTATGATGGAGTTTATCTTCGTTATGGTTTCTGTGGCTGTGATGAAGTACCACGTCCAAAAGCATCTTAGAGAGGAAAGGGCTTAGGTTTCCGTATCACAGTTCATCATTAAACGTAGTCAAGACAGGAACTCAAGATGGACAGGAACCTGGAGGCAGGAGCTGACGCAGAGGCCATGGAGGGGTGCTGCTTACTGGCTTGCTTCCCCTGGCTTGCTCGGCCTACTTTCTTGTAGAACCCAGGACCACCAGCCACAGGGGTGGCCCCATTCATAGTCTCCTGGGTCCTACTCCATCAACTAATTACTAATTAAGAAAATGACCTATAGGCCTGCCTACAGCCTGATCTTAAGGTGACATTTTCTCAATTGGGGATCCTTCCTCTCAGATGACTCTAGCTTGTGTCAAATTAACATAAGTCTAGCCTGCACATGGTAGAAACGAAAAGAAAAGAAACGTTTTATCCCCTTTCATGACTTGTGTGTCCTTTGGCTGACATGCAGACCTTCCTCATTACCTAGTGCTCCCCCCAAATGCTCTCCTTTCTATAAGATTTGCACGCTTTGAAGACCTGGAGAGGGGAGGCTAACCTTCCAGACTTTAGCCAAAGTAGCCCATTTCCCAGCAGACCACTAGTTAATTGTTCTGTGCTCTAAAGTCATGGCAGACTGCAGCAAGGCCAAGCCATCCTTCCACAGTGTACAAAGTGAGGTGTTGGCAGCATCAGTGTTGGAGGAAATTCTCTATCTAGAAAGCAACATGCAAGGAGTGTCCTCCACATTAGCCTCTGACTTGGCAAGAAAATTAGATTTTAAAAGGAGGGTGAGGGGCTGGAGAGATGGCTCAGTGACGAATAGCTCTGACTATTCGTCCAGAGGTCTTAAGTTCAATTTCCAGCAACCACATGGTGGCTCACAACCATCTGTAATGGGATCTGATTCCCTCTTCTGGTGTGTCTGAAGACAGAGACAATGCACTCACATACATGAAATAAATAAATAAATCTTTTTTTTAAAGGAAGATGAAAAGGAGGTGTTGGAATGTTCTTATGACTGAAACTAAAGGGAATCCAGTGCAGAAGACAAATGAATGAGCACTTGTTCCTAGAGTCAGACCCTAATGCCTATGGGAAGAGCTGGCTACAAAGGAGGAAATGGTAAGATAAAAACTGTGTGCGGATGACAGCCCCACACGGCACATCCGACTCTTAGTTCAGAAAAAGAGAAAAATTCACAATTACTGATAATGGCTCTATTTAAAACGCTGTGGTCATTAGGGAATATTTTGCTTCTGAGCTGCTTGAACTGAGAAAAGCTTTTCAATGGGCATAGAAAGGAACCCCCTACTGATTGGCTTCTGAGGCGCTGGCATATGGATGTGAGTGGAATCTGCTTTGAGCATCTTGCTGGCAAAAGAACTAAGCAGCAGGCTGATTTATCTTCTTCTCTATCAGTGCCTGCAGAATCTCCACTTGTATGAGGGAAATCGCCCACTCCTTAAGGACTGGCTCATTCTGCCTTCCAGTATATCAATAAGTGTTAGTGATGAGAGCCACTGAGGAGGATCAGGTGATGTTATGAGAACTGAAGATGTAGGAGGAAGGTTTTGATGCCAATTTATCAGGCCCGATAGAACCGTGCTTACTAAGACCTCTCTCAATATTTAAAGCAACAGCCTCAGGGGAGGTACTCATCTCTAGCGGCATTATGAAGCCCACAAGCAGAGCATAAGACCTGTGGGGTGGGGAAAGCTCTGGCCAACCCAACTGACCTGAATTGCGGCGCATACCAAGGATTCAGTATTAAGGCAGTCAAAAGGGGACACAAAACTGGAAAGCAACCAAGAGTTACCCATTCTAGTTATTTTTTAATTTTATTTTTATTTTATGTGTATGGGTATTTTCACTGTGTGGTGAGTTGAATGAGAATGCCCATTGCCATAGGCACATATATTTGAATATTTGGTTCCCAGGTAGTGGAATGGTTTGGGAAAGATTATGAGATGTAGTAGCCTTGTTGGAGGATGGATGTTGTTGGGGCTGGGTTTTGACGTTCCAAAGGCCAGTGCTATTCCTAGAGATGCTTTCTCTGCCTCATGCCTGTAGATTGAAATGTGAGCACTCAGCTACTACTTCAGCACCATGCCTGCCTTCCTACTGTAACCCTCTGGAGTCATGACACCAAAATTAAACTCTTTCTTCTATGAGTTCTCTTGGTCATGGAGTTTTGTCAAAGCAACTGGAAAGTATCTAAGTCTTTGTATATATCTCTGTGTATCATGTATGTGCCTGGTACTCATGGTGGCAGGCAGAAGAGGGCAGTGGATTCCCTGGAAGTGAAATTACATATATTCTGGATCAGGTATTCTGGAATAGCAAGGAGTGCTTGCAACTGTTGAGCCATCTCTCCAGCTGCTGCTTCCTCCTCTTCCTCCTCTTCTTCTTCTTCCTCCTCTTCCTCCTCCTTCTCCTCCTCCTCCTTCCCCTCCTCCTTCTTTTCAGCACCATGTACCAATAAATGTAAGTAGATACATGTATTTCTATGAGTTCGAGATATGGGAACTGTCTTAGTTGGGATTTCTGTGCTGTGATGAAGCACCATGACCCAAGCAACTTGGAGTTAAAAGGGTTGATTTCAGCATATAGTTCCACATCACTGCCTATCATCAAAAGAAGTCAGGAGAGGAATTCAAGTAGGGCAGGAACAGAAGCTATGAAAGAGTGCTGCTTACTGGCTTGTTCTTCATGCTCAGTCTGCTCTCAGGACCACTACTAGCCCATGTATCGATCACTAATTAAGTAAATGCAATACAGGCTTTCCCACAGAGTGATCTGCTTTCTCACAGGGCAATCTGGTGGAGACGTTGTCCTATGATAAGATTTTTCCTGGGGAGACACTACACACATGTCTACTCACCCCAGATAAGAAGCCCATGACAGACTAAGGTTCAGATACCACCAAAGTCCAGCTTAGCGAGTCAATGAGTTTAGAAGGGATTAGTTACAGGAATATGGGTGAGAGGTCACTTACAGGAACAGAACTGACTCAAAGACAGCTTCATCACCAAAGCCCACCCCAGTGTGGGTGAAAGCTCACGAAGCTGGGGACCTGGAGCACACTGCACAGCCTGCAGGCAACTCAACAGGCTGGAAAGTGTCCTTTTTCAAGTGACTCAGTGGGTCTAAACCTCTTGCAGGAAGTTCAGCTGGTTTCTGCCTCTTCCAGGCAGCTGGTCTGGTCTCAGACTCTCCTATGCAGTCTGTCTTCTGAGAGGGACTCTCAGCAGCTCGGCTTGTTTACCCTTGCAAAAGAGGGGCTT